TTAAAAAAAAAGTAAATAAAGAAACTATTTCGAAACTTCACAGTTTTTGATTCGAATTTCATGAATTAGATTTCAACCACTTCTTGTTAAATATAATAAAAATATTAGAAAAAAAATAGAAAATTGAATTCTAGAAAAATAATTTTATATAAGTGAATATTTTGTCGAGAAAAATAGATAAATAAAAATAGTAAAAAGGAAGAGAAGAGGGTAAAAAAAGAAATAAGAGAAAGTAGAAAAAAAAAGAGAAATAAATTCGGAATCGTCGACCATTGCTAATTCAAGTTTGTTTTAAGCTCTCGTTCCTCTATCTCAGTTTTTAAGGAATACTTCACAATCCTGCTTTAGCGTCCTTATCCTTTCTCTGTATAAATATCTCGGAAAAAAAGATCTTTATGACACCATTCACGATTAAAATTCTTTTCTTTGCGGATAAGAAAGAAGAGATAAGAAAAGCAAAGGAACGAGCTAAGATAAAATCGGTCGTGTGTGCCTATATCGAACGATTTCTCTTAAAAATTATCTTCCACGAGAGCGTGAAATTAATCCTGAAGATTGCCTCGACCAAGGAAAATTGTCTTTTTTATCAAGAATGTAGGAATATTTCAAGAATATTCTAATATTAAATATTTTAATCGATCATAAAAGAATTTATCTATTTAAAAAATTTGTTTAAAAAGTAATAAAAGAATGGATTCGTTTGGATAAAATTTGCATGCAATATTGAACAATGGATAACAATAAACGGATGGGGAAAATGGAAAGAATATTTCGTGGAAGATGAAATAAAAAAAAAAAAAAGTGTCGACTCACCAATGGTGGATTGGAAGATTGGAAACGTCGAGAGGTAATGATTTGGTTTATCGCGTGGATTATTCTTCATAAAAGAGATGGGTTTGCTATTATCTTCAATTTTCAGTATCTGCTCGTCTAAAAAATATACAAAAGAAAAAAAAATATGAAACAAAAGAAATAGAAGAAATAAAAAGAAATATCGAACAAAAGCATTAAACTCGCTTTTGTGAAACTTCTTGACAATATTCCAGTATTCTTCGCTTTTAATCTCGAAATACGATTCAAGTGTATTACATTGCCTAATAAGAATTCTTTGGAACAACTTTGGAACAACAGCAGGCTAATCTCCAAATATAAAATTTTTATTTGTTTATTAGTTTATATAGTATAGTATGTCTCTCATTATTCCTCGTATATTTTCGTTTCTTTTTAAATCGAATTCGTTTTAAATCGAATTCATGTGAACAGAGATTAATATATATATATATATATGATAACATCAAGAAACATATACTCATATACTCAATCCAAGATCTAAACCTAATTTGTGTTTCCCTTCCCTTGAATGCATTCATCTGTTAAAACGAAAATAATCCATGTTAATAGACAAAAATTGAATGAAATAACTTGAGTACGAAATTCTGTTACATTCGTGGCTTGGGTTTTTTCTTTCATCAATCTTTCATGTCACTTAGCACTTATTTCTATTATTTCTCTCATTTAGTTTTTTTAAATCTTGTTATTTTTCTTTTTTTTCTCTCTCTCTCTCTCCCTTAAAAAAATTCATACGAAATGAAGAAAAATAAATAATGGATACCATTATTCATTAGAATGATCTTTATTATTTGAAATATTTCTTAAACATTTTTCACGTTCTCACCAGCATTGTTATTAGTTAAATCAACACGAGTATCTTTTGTACCAATTTCACATTTTTTTTAAAAATTCCCGATAGATCCTTCAAGTGATCGACACTCACTTTTCGATCAGTTTCACTCTTTCTAACAAATTCTTCAGAAAGTGCATGCAAGATCTCTCATTCCTTACTATTTCCTGCTTCGAATTCTGTTTTTGAGATACAGAAATATTATTTGGCATGATTTTGAAATATCTATGCTTCGTAAGAATCAAAAAGATTTTTATATAATTTGAATGATAATTTGAATGCACATTCTTTTAACATTTTATAAAAAACATACGTATTCATTATCGCAAAAATGATTACATATGCATAAATTATGATATTTAAAGACATGCAATCTTCTACGAAATTATAGTACATCAATAAAATTAAAAACTCAAAACCGATCATTGATTAGTAAGCAAAATCGTTCGATATTCTAGATTCTAAAGTCACAAGAAATCAGCGAATAGAAGGAAAGTGAAATTGAGGAAATCGATGAACGGAGGAAAAACAGAAACAAAATATTTTATATATCAAAAGCTTGTAAATAAAAAGAGTTTCTTCAATTCTGGCAAAATAAAATTTTACGGATTTGTATACAATGAATGAGTAGGGGCATCCAAATTTCTAACGTAAATTTAGTCTTCCTAAATTTGTGAAACCTTGATGTTCTTGAAATACACGGAATTTACGGAGGATGTCATTTAAAACGTGGGAAGAAAGATAGAAGAAAATAATCAATATAATTTGTGGCAATATAAGGTTGAAAATTAACAATGAAAAAAGACTTGAAAGTTTCTTTCTCAAAAAAAAAATTTGTACAAGATTCAAAAAACAAAAAGAACATAATAAATGCTAAGAAATATCGAAATTCTTTTTAATCAACAAGTCCAAGACTTAAATGATTAAAAAATTGTAATCGACCAAGATGCAAACATTACATCAGTCTTATATACGTAAAATATCTTTTAACGATAAAAATTGACAAATAAATCGATAGTAAATGCATAGAAGAAATATGCATTTTTTTAAAATTCATGATACAAGATGGTCGATGAATACATGTTTAACTAGCAATTCTTTCATACATTTGAGAAATATGTATATTATAAATATTTATTAGCTTTCTCTATATTTATTAGAGGATAATTTGATTCTTAAAATTAATAATGAAAAATAAAAACCGAGCTTCAAATTTTAATTAAAAATTGATGAAAATTCAACAGACGAAATTATAGTTGTAGCACAAATACATAAAGACATGCTTAAAGAAATAATATAAAACTAGGAAAATAATAAGCAATGATAAGAAGAAAAGAAGAGAATATCAAAAATGATAAACAGGTATTTGAAAAATTTGATCAGTTTGAATTCAGCGACGATGACAGAAATCATGTCATTATTATTTCAGACAGCATTTGATCCATATCCCAGATCTTACACGTAACATCGACGTCTCTGTGTGTGTTCCTATTAATAACATTATACAATTATGTACGTACGAATGTATAAAATTCTTTTGTTTGTTCATTTTATGACTAATACGGGAATGTACGATCCGTTGTTTGTTGCTAAGCGTCCTCGGAACGCTAAATAGATCATTGAAATATCGTTACAACGATTTTCTTATAAATATGACAGTGCAAAATCTATCGAGGACGAACTCGTCGAGATCGAACGACCTAACCTAAATGATTTGTTTCTTTCTTCCTGTCTTCTTTTCAATTTCTTTATATGCAATGTATCAATTGCTAAAGGAACATGAACTCGTCGAATTCGTACTCGACCATAAGTAATTTCAATTATTACTTATGGGAATGTTCCTCGTTATATTTCTGATTAACGAATAAAATAAAATAAACAAATGAATTTGTTCATATAGTGGATCGCATTGTCGATCAGTCCGTTAACTTTCTCAATCTTTTCTTTTTTTTTGTTGTCTGACGATCCTTACTTACAAATGTTTCAATCGCCGAAAGATGTACAGTTAGATCGTGAAATAATTACACACCTATACCTGTGTGAATTTGTCGCTATTCAAACGGATTTCGAATCAGACTACATTCCGCACTAATAGACGAAGAAGGTTTTGCACGCTGGAAAATCAATTAATGCTAACATGCTAATCATGAAACAATATTCTTCATTTCAACAAAGATCGCATTTGTTACGTTAAGCGTCATGGAACAATCCTTTTACCTTTCCATAGTTACTATTATACATTATTAAAAACAAGTAACTACATCACAGTTCTAATGGCTCAGTCATTTGATGTGTTGATGCGTCATATTATCGAATTTCATTTCATCTTCAGAACAGTAACAGCGATCGTCAGAACTCTTTATCCATGCAGATACATCATAAAAATCATTATGTGTATAATAATTTAAAATGATGGTTTTTTAAAAAAGGAAAGAAAAAGATTATAGTTCGGAGTAACGCAGCAGGTACAAGAGCAAAATGGTTGAATAGTTTGACGATCGGTTACACGCCCAATGAGTATTCTAATATTCTAAAATTAAGAAATAAAATAAAATGTTTATAAATACCTTTTATAAATACAGACGAAAGCTGATACACAAAATACAATACGCGATTAAAAACACGAACCTTCGTCTATTATTCAATTATTTTTCAAATACATTATGCATTGCATAAAAAAAGATAAAAGCGATTTGTGTAAACTCACGGTCATGGCGCCCACTGAATAATCTCGAAAGTATCGATAATCGATTTTCACGATTCTCATTATAAACTTTTCATAGCTTACAATCTTATAATCTTATGTACACGTTCGCTTTATGAAACTTGGAAAAATGTTTGTGAGAATCTAAGTATTGTTCTTAGCATTTAATATTTCCATGATCTGTTATAATCCGGAAATCTTCAAGATTTATCTTAATAATTAGAACCATATCAATATCCTTACAATCTTCTTGACATAAACGCTTATTCACTGCATATCTTGAAAAAATTGCAAATACATGTAACGCTTTTCAATTTCTTCATTTTTTTTTTTTCTTTTTTGCTCGTTTTTCTTTTTCATTCAGACGGAATGGATATATTATGCATTGTATCACCGACGAACTTAAATAATTCTATTAAATCAAATTAAAAATGGATATACTGTGCACTGTATCATCAATAAGTTTAATCAGATCTATTAAATCAAATTAAGTATTCTGAAATACTGATTTGAAAAAAAAATTCATCAATATACAGAAATATATTACATACAAATTAAAGATACTTTCTGATAAACTAAAAACAAATATTAATCAAGAAAAAATTAATTGCAGAAATATTTCAAATTTTTTGATATCGTTGCTATATAAAAATCACATGAATTAGAGAAATTGTATACCTCATACATTTTATGATATCTTTAACACGCTTTAGAATACGAATATTCTTTTTAAGAGATTGCGCCATTGTCTCGCTTTTTATCCTTCCTTCTTATTTTTTTCTCTCTCTCTCTTTCTCTCATACATTCATTCTCAGACATACATTACATACAATAAAAAAATTTTTATCTATAGAAAAATGTAAGAACAAAAAGAAAAATAAAAAAAATCAGATAAAAAAAGCAACATCGAGCTCACTACTATAATCGCTATTATCAAATATTAAGACTTACCTCTAATTACATGTTAATAAATACATCGCTCTGAATACATCCAACATGATACATGCATACTGTTATGACACATGGATTGACTTTTTATTATTCGCATTATTATCGGGCCTGCAAATAGCCATCATTAGGACCATCAATCTCTCACTCCATCAGTCACACTTTGCAATGGAACGAGTATGTAAACTTAAATTAATTTGTTCGTCTTTTTCAAGTTATGAAAATTATCCTAATCGTAGTTCAAATGCACTACGATGAAGTCATGGTATACAAACATAGCAAGACAAATCATTATTCATGATCGTAAGAACTAAATGTTATAGAAATAATCCGTATCGTATTAATACGAAATTATTTCTTATTATTCGTACAAGCTCTAATTGTACGATTCGAAATAATGTAATCTTTCACTACACCATTACGATAGCTTCTTCACCACAAAATAAGAAAGGATATTGATCTATCATTGTTTGAACAACATCTTCCAAGTATGGTCTCATTGCTTCGAATCTGCCAAGATCGTTAAATTCTATTGGTAATAAAGTAGGCCACCAGCAGATTGCCAAATTTTTACTATCCATACTGTTCAGCTTACAATTTTCAGCCACTCTAAAAATATATAAATATTCCATGGTTTCTAGTAATTAATAATTATATAATTATTTAAATTGTAAAGATAGACTTACTTTACAAAATGATGAAAAATAAATTTAAGTACATCAAAATTAACTGGCTTCAATTTGTTGAGCATCAAACGTAATGCTAATAATCTGCAGCTTCGATCTATAATAAGTCCATAAATATTTATCTTAAATATATAAATCTATAAATCTTTTATCATTTCATTTATTTATTGAAATTTATATAATGATGTTTACCTTCCATATTCATACATGTTGCAGACATTGGTTTGCTAATACCACGAGCACCTGAACAAAAAAACTTGTGTTAAAATCACAAACAATTAACAATTAATGTTTTTTAAAATCATTATAATTTACCTGAGATATCCTCGAGTTCACTCATTCGTTCTTTATCAATTAATGGTGGTAACCTTTTTGAGAAGAAATCTTTCAAAGCAGTTGCAACAGCATTTACTGGTATATCCAACGAATGTATGTCCACGTTTCCGTCTGCAATAATAAAACATGAAATAATAAAAAAAATTAATATTTAAATCTAAAATTTCAAAGCATTTACCTTCTTCAAACTTTTGAAAAAGGAGTTCAACGTGTGCTCTATTTCCAGGAACCCTATATATACCTTCAGAATCTAATCCTTCATCTTCAATAAATTGCACACATTTTTCAAGAAATAGAGGTATTCGATTTGTTTCACTCTGTGCAAAATCTTCAATTAATGGTTGTTGCACTTGACTCAGACTTAATGTTGAACTAGGACCTTTAGTTTGTTTTGTTTTTTCTTGCTTTTTTTTCTCTCTTTCCTTTTCCTTTTCCGCATGTTTTTTTAGTTTTTCTTCTTTTTGACGACGCTTTTCTAACTTCTCATCTTCTTTTGCTTTTTGTTTATCCTTTTTCCTATTTAACTTATCGCCATCTTTGACCTTATTTAAAATATTAAATCGAAACAGAATATCTTTAAAAAAATTTATATAAAAATTTATCTTTACTTTTTCGTACATCCTTTTTACTTACACTGGGAGAATTAATTTCTCGTGGAGAAGAAACATCTAAACTGGATTCATCTGAAATAATGTCAAACATAAAGTTACAATTTTGCTTGATTAAAATAATAATAATTTTATGCAATATTAAATACAAAATTCTAAGCAAACCTTTTTTTATATCCTATCTGAACCATTTAAAAAAATAATTAAAGAAAATTCTACAATTATTACTTAAAATATAATAATAGCAATTGATTTAAATTTTAGCAATTTTTATATTTTGGTTATTTTCGATTAAAAAATTACTAACAAACTAAAAAAATAATTAAAAATAATAATAAACCTTATTTAAAATAAGAAAAGATAAAACATACACATATAAATTATTTTTTTATTTTTTTTTTTAAATATTTTTAGCATGCAAAAAAAAATAGCCATATTAAGTATAATGTTACTTACAGGAAGCACTAAACATCTCTTTATTGGAAGTTGGATGTTGTGGTAATGAATTTCCAAATTTTCTTCGTGAAATAGCAGCAGTAGTATGCTTATTATGTTTGGCTCTTAATCTTGAAGTATGTTCTGGATCACTTGATTCAGAAGAATTTGTTTCACTGGATTCTACATTAAAAAAGAATTGTAATATATTTTTATAATAAAATATAACCATAATAAACAAATACCTCTTTCTGTAGGATTTACTCGCAGTTTTACTTCTTTAATATTATAATTCAAACCAATACTATCTCCACTTCCCATGCTAGATGGTACTTTAGGTGAGGCAACAAATATAGGTGTACGTTTTTTTCGTATCCTTTTATGTGATGGTGGTTTTTTGTTTGCTTTACCTGAAATATCAGCAATTCTTTGTCTTTCCAAAGAACTCCATTCAGAATCAGAATCACTGTATGCTACAAAGTGAAAATATAATTAATATCCATATATCCATAATATCATATATATATTAGTAAATTATAATCAAAATGCATTATTTTTTTAATTAGATTCTTACAAGGTTGTCCTTTTTCACGTCTATGACGTAACTTGGGTTTATTATTTCCGACAGAATCTTGTACCGAGGCATACATATAATCACCATCATAAGGATATAAACTTTGTACAACATCTTTTACTTGCGCATATTCGGAACTTAAATCTAATTCAGGAGTAGCAAGTGGAGCATGACCCATACTTATTTTAGAACCATGTTCATCTTTTTCTCCTACTGTCATTCTAGCTATAGCATCCGTCACATTTGAAAAATCTTTCAAATTTATTTTACCAGGTTGTTTTAAAGTTTGACTGTTTCCTTTTGGACGCGGCTTTGCCTGAGAAATATGTCTTCTACCTGTTGTGAAGGCTCTGTGAGAGTAACTATTAGTTACTCCATCTTGAGGCATAAATGTATCCTTCACCCATCCTATGAAATTAAAAAATAAATAAAAAAAATAGAATTACATATAAATTTATTTTACATATATAAAATTTCGTTATTACAAAACTAACCAGACAATTTGTTTGTAATATCTCCTGGTTTTAACAAATCTCTTTCTCTTTCTTCTCTATAAAAATCTACTTGGCTATAAATATCACTATCATCACTAGGTGTAGCTCTATTGTCTGCAAACTGCTCGTTTAATCCTGTATCTCCAAGATCACCATCAGGAGTTAATTGTTCATAAGATTCAGAACCACTTCTGAAAGTTACAGACATACTGCTTCACATTAGATATTTGAATTATCAGGAAATTTTTAAGATAATTATTATTAAATGATATTATTAAAGATTATTTTAGATTACTTACCCATCATCTGGTGTTTGAAGGTGATAACTTTCATGACGTGGTGGTGGCATAGGATGTAATGCAGAATATTCCAAAGTTCCTTCACCGCTATCATTTAAATTACCTGGTTCTTCCATATTAAATGCCTGTTCGATTTCGGGTTTTTTCTCCCATACCTCTTTAAAGAATGGGGTATAGAATGCCGCTGCAATAAAAACAACATAAGTATAGAAATTTTTCTAGTAAATATTTCTAATTAGAATATTTAAATAAATATATAACAACATACTTTTTTGTTGGCAACTAGATGCCGAAGTCATAAAATGTGCTTGCAATTTATCCGCAATTGCATTTCCCTCTGTGATAAGTAAATGACTTAAATCATTACTGAAGAAAGCATTAGCACCTCCAGTATCAGTCACAGCCATTATTTGTATTGGTAAATTTGGTATATTCATAGAAAATGCGCTACGAAAAAATTTCAAATTAATAATAAAATAATATTATTTTGAAATATGTATATTATATTACGTACTTAAGAGTCGCAAGTGATGCTTTTCTTTTTGTAGAATAAACAAGTATAAAACCATGTACTAATTCATCTCTAAATGCATTTGCTCCATGAAAACTTGAAATAATAACTTCAACTCTTCGTTTCGATTCTCCTAGAAATGTTTCTAAAACAATCGATCGATCGCCACTAAGAAAACAACATTGATGATTGAGTAAGGGACCAAGTACGTTTTCCACGGAATATGGATCTCCGCAAAACATACACATTATTATTCTAAAATAAAAAAATTATTAATATTATGATGATTAAAAAATTTATAATATAACTTATTTAAAAATTATATTACCTAATATCTGGTTCTAAACATTCAATAACACTTTGGTAAATATTTAAAAAACCAGCTCTGTGATTTATAGATTGTATAAGTTGCTGTAATGCATCTTTTACAAGTAAAGTAGGAAATCTTTTATCTTGCTCCAAATCCTCTATGCAAACATCTATAAATGGACACTGCAAACTAATGTAAAGATTCATCATTAATTTTTGTAATATGAAATAGAATTTATAAGTAAAATGAAATGTAAAATTCATAAATTTTTACCTATCAGCAAGATTCTGACCCTCTTTTCTAAGTCGTATTGCTTCCATTTCGTCTATAGTTGATTCTGGTACAAACATAATAACAATAGGTAATCCTTGAAATGGTAATCTATCTTCTTGTTCTAAATTCGACAATAAAGTTTTTTCTAAAGAAGAACGAATATATTCAAATGAATCTTCATTTGCATAAATACAAAATGAACCTATAAATTTAAAATATTTTCAAAATTCTATTTTTATAAAATTCACTATATAATAATATTATAATAATATACCATGAGGCATGAAGTCTGAAGTAGTAAATGAATTATGTGGTAATCCAACATCACCATCGATTATTCGATATCCAAGCGTATACAATTGACAATCAATTTCTACTTCATCATCTTCTGTTTGTGCTCTTATTTCACGAGCGAATTCCTCACCAAGTCCATTGCTTCCAAGTATAACTAAATTTAATTGATTATTATCAGATGTTAATTGCCACTGACTACTGTGATTCCATGAAGAAGGTCTATAAAATTATTATTATTTTGATAATTATTGTTAATTAAAAATTTATTATTTGTTATACTTTTATAATTTAAATCTTACCTGTGAGCTTTTGTTCCAAGTATTCGTTCTATAAGTGCATCCATGCAATTTGGATAAGCTGGACAATGTTCTCTTATAGGACAATGTACAAAACCCAAATGTTGAAATAGCATTAATTTTCTATCTTGATCTAATCTATCTAAAGCTTTATATCTGTACATCATAAAAGATTATTCAAAAATATTTATACATATAATTTAAATAAAAAAAATTAAATTAATTACCTAAAATCATCTACTAATGCATCTGTAATTTCTTTAATATCATCTTGTGTTATAGTACCAGATGGTGCTATACTCTTGAAATGATAGAATAAATCAGCATGTTCTAGCAATAGTTCCTGAAATATAAAAGATTAAAAAATATAATAGAATAAAAAATATTTATTATGTTTATGTTATTATTATGTTAAGACACATATATATTCATACTTGGAAATTATGTTTTGCTTTTTCAATAATTTCTTTTTGATGTTGATCATATATTTCTTGACAATCATGGTGAGAAAGAGCTTCAAAACATTCTCTACCCATAAAAAGAACTCTAACTTCAGATAAATGTTTTCCAGGTGTAACATAACCAGTTTCTTCCAATAACTGTTTAAATTGTTTTTTCCATCTAACAAATGATAGATTTTTTATATAAATATAAATATTTTTTTATTACAATATAATTATTTTCAATATTTAAAAGATATTTATAAAGTTTTAGATAGTTAAAACATATATATAAAACTACAAAAATGTTAATATAGATAATTATATTTTTATGAAAAAATAATATTCTAAAATATAAAGCAATAAAAAGCACAATTTACCTTTTAGGAAGTCTGCACAAAAGAAACGCCACCCAGAATAAAGCAAAGCATTAGTATATTGCACATAAATATCTAAAATGCTGAATGACTATGTAATTTTAATAATTATGTTAGCAAAAAACTACTTCTTTCCTATTTATAAATAGCAAAAATTTAACATGATTATAATCATTTATAATGATTATAAAGTTTATTAAGAAATATTTGCATATATATTTAATAATTAATTTTAAAAATACTAATACTAACTCTAATCGCCGCTGTTCCTGTTGCAATACATTTATATGATTTTTGAAAACAGTTTCAGCTTCGGGTGTTTCTAAGACATCATAAGGAATTTTTGTTCCATTGTTTTCACCGAAATCACAATCAATCCATGGGATATCTTCAGGACATTCATAGAAATATTGGTGAAAATCAGGATGTTCTTTTATATATTGTTGTACTGCAGACCACTCTCTACATAAATAAAATAAATAGAATAAGCAAAAATATTTTTCAATTAGAATTAAATAAATATAATTGAAAACATACTCATTGATCAAATTTGTTATATCAGGACATATTTCATGAAGAATATCAGGTAACATGTCCAAATATCCCTGGATTTTTTTTGCCACTTGTTCATCTTTCAATTTTTTAATATGTCTTCTAAATAATCTTTGAGTTGCATCAATACCAAATAATTCAACAAATGTTGAAAATTCTTTGTGTTGAGCTAATTTTTTAGATGCTTGAGACCACAATGCTCTATAATCAGTAACATGTATTCGAATCAATCTTTGTAAAGATTCCGTTGATGCATCTAATAATTCCTTTCTAGCTCTGGCTGCTTCCGCAAATGGAATAACTTTACTTCGCATTTTGGTTTTATCAATCAGTTGAGCCAAAATCATAAATGCCAAATCAATATTTATATTTTCATGTGCAGATGTTTCAATTATTAATATGGAACTTTTGTATTCTTTACGCATCACTAATTTTTCAGCTTCTTTTACATATTGTTCATTAGCATCATCATTTTTGGTTGTTACCAAAACTATTGGTTTTTTAGTTTTCATTAAATTATTCAATATATTTGCTACTATTTCAACCTGTTTTTCTATAGATCTATTTGGTACAACACTTACATCAAATACACACAAAAAGCCATCAATGTTTAATTTACCATCTGGTAAAACTTTTTGTTCATATTCTTTTTCTATGCCTAATTGATTTTTGCAAATATACATAAGCTTTTCTGCACTAGTAATTTTTGTGGCTGCACATCTTTTTGCATAAGGTTCCATTTTACCACCTTTAAAAGGTTGAAAAGATGCATCATCTATAAATTCAGTATGTTCTATTACTTGAAATTGATATTCTGTTCCATCTTCTGCTGTTTTTGTAACTTCACCCCAATATAGGAAATGATCATTATTCACCACCCGACCACTAAAATCTGACTGTAAAAAATAATAATCAATTAATAAGAGGAAACATTGCAAAGCAAACAAACTATATTTAACCAAATTAATCATATGTATATTTAACAATTACCTGTGATAACACTGATATATGGTCCACATTATAATCATCGTTCAAAGAACGCATAAAACGATTACACAGACATGATTTTCCCACACCAACTTGCCCCTTATCTTTTTCTGTACCAGAAAGACCAACAATAGCAACATTGATGGTTTTGATATTATCACTTTTTCTTGCCATTTTTAAAGTTTAATTTGATTATATCATTTATATAATTAAGTGAGAAAATAAAAATCTTTTCTTCATCAAACTTTACTCAGGACATTTTTAAGTACCACTATTAATAGTTTCTCTTATTCATTTATTTTGTAGTTATTAAAAACCAATATTTTTTCCTTTGGTCATTGTATATCAAGTCTAGAAATTTATATGAAAATTAGCATTACCTTCCTTTGGTAACATTTTTAACAATATATTTTTTATTTTATGTTTCTTCTTGCTTCACAATATTTGAATATCATGCTTCAAATTTTTGTATGACATGCAAATTTATATGTAAATAATCATAAAGAAATGTCATTTGCCAAAATTTCATTTGAGCTTAATATAATTATTATTATAACTTTATAAATGACAAAATTACATCATTAGAGAAATTAATAATATAGATTTTAAGAAATTTTTGCACTTTATTTCTTTATATAAAGCACAACATTCATAATTTAGCACAAGTGTGAGCAATAATTCTTTGGAATGGCACTGATATCTGAAAAAAAATAATATTCACAAATGAATAAAATGATAAACAGCATCATCATATATTATTAAATGTTAGTTGCACTCATGTTGCATTTATATCTTTATTATGGAAATTAAATTAAATATTCATGTTAATATTCACTATTCATTTAAAATTCACATTAATAAAATATATA